TTCATCGGCCTTGGCGGGATCCCTTTCATGCTAGGTGCTTCGACAGTGTTATAGTTGTTACTGTGGATGTCCCATCACTAGCGTCAAGGCCGTACCTTGTTCTTCTGAGGTCACTTAGTGTCCTAAATTTTTGTCGCTTCCCCTTGTGGGACCGACTCAAATATCCAAATGCACAAAATTTCGTAAGAATTCCTAACGCAAATATCAGTTCACGCTTGGCGCAATCGCAACTATGCCTTTCGGGCCTTACAGTTTAGCTTCTTATTCGCCTATTTTCCGAAAAGTTAAAAGTAACAGAAAAAAGATCGATGCATAAACACATGATCATAAATTATTTCAAAACTCGTAGCAACTTTGTCCAGTTATCCACTCGACGCTCATTATAATCTGTAGTCACGCATCGTAGGGAGAAGCTCGTCTCCTCTCCGGAAATGTACTTTGTTTCTACATTGTACCTGGAACTGCCATACATCGGGAAATACGAACGTCAAACGAACAGGATAATTTGCAGCGCGCATGTATATGCTTATCGAGTTGGAGAAGTTTGGGAATTGACTGCTAAATACAAAGGAATTTTTTTCTACGATTAAATAACATTAGTGTAAATAATTAAGCCATTAGTGATTCAGATAAGAAATCGAGTGGATACCATTTGAGGAAATAAAAATTGGCTAAGGGAGTTAGTAAAAAGAGCCTGCGCAAGAAACACGCAAATGTCAAAAGTTCTTCAGAGGATCAGATTATTCTCAGTGCTTCAGGCTCTAAGAAGGAAGAAAAGGCAATCGAAAGTTACTTTTTTTTTTATGAATCGATTGAACTATCATTACCTGAATATTTTTATAGTGACACGTACTATTCATACGTTCACTTTCGAAATATTATGTGTATTTAATAAAAAATAATACGCTAAACTCTTTTTTGAGGTTACTTGAATTAGCAATGTACTATAATGTATGATCGAGAACTGTTGTTTCGCGGGCTCATAGAACAATTGGGGATCCGCACAGCGGAAATTTTTACGATCAAATTTCCCTAATCTTGATTGTGCTATGGTCCAGGCACCGGATAGGAACCCGAACGGAACTGTAACGCTTTAGCCACAAAGACCTTAGTAGGGTGAACAGATGTACCTCATGAGGCTTCTTTATCGATACAATGTTATACTTCGTAACTCCCTTGAAACTAATTAGACTGTTAATGTTTGCTAAAATATTAAAAATATTAAAAAATTAAAAAATATATGACGCAATGGTGTAGTTGTATAATTAAAACCAAATGCAAAAAAAAATTATAGTAGAGACAGATTTATCTGTTTGCGAGGCTGCGAACGTGATTCGAACCTGCGATCATCAAAATGTCGAATTGTAGGGCATGCCGTTACCCAGTAAAATACTGACTCAATTTGTAAATGTTACTTCGGATAAGAAATTTAATCGAATTTACACCCTTTTAGTGCCGACTGAATGAATTGTACCTACGCGAAGAAACCGAACCAATTTGATGTAATTTAGAAAGGTTGGAGAGAAAAATCATAAAAAAAGTAAAAATCATATTTACAAATATCAATAAAGAGAACATATGGTGAAATAAAGGGAGAATCCCTACGCTTTTTATAAATTTATTTTGAGCCAGAGTTCTTTCGCGATGCGAATACTAAGGCGCCATCGCATACGCAATATGTCGTTGTTAGGCACTAAAAATATTAATATCTGTATACATGAAAATAGTAAGATTTATCGAATTTCTCCAGAAAAATAATATAATATAAACCAGAATTTATAAAATTAATATTGCAAGCTATTATACTTAGTTTTGATATTCTACTTTGATGATTAACAAAAGTTTGTACAAATATTTTCGCCAGATCAATGTAACATTGAAAAATCCTTCAGTGATCAAGTTTAAGTACGCAAATAATATTCATCATAAAAGTTTTTTGATTGTGCCTGATAATATACCCCAATGCAATCTCTGTGAGAGCCCAGCCAGATATTTTCGCCAGTAAATCAAATCAGGACCTCATCAAGGGTGCCTTAAAAAACCGTATCTGAGGACGCCGTACTTGACCCATACTACGGCCTTCTTCATATAGGGTGTCCCCTAACAAATTTCTACACAGAATAGGGTGTCTACCTCTCATTAGAGCCCCGTTCTTTGCACGGCCATTGGTAATTTATGATACGATTATAATATTACGCCATATTCCAGCGGTTTTTGGTAATTAAAAAAAAGATGTTCCCTGTTACGCAAGAGATTACTCTGCCGCAGGTAGGCCATTGGGCAGTTAATTCTTCGTAATTCCATTCTTCGACTGCGATGAGGCAGCACATTGGAGTTCCCCGAATGGAAATTTTAAGCCTACATTGGACCTCAAGGTTATAAACGAAGCCTCTTTTGCTTCTTTTCAAGAGTAACATTCTGCTTTAAGTTGTTACATACCTCCAGAATTTTTAAAAAATAAATTTTTTTATTATCAATTATTAATGTCTATAAAAATAATTGTGTAAAAAAAAGTTAAGTTATTCATAAAAGTCTACTTCAATTGAATACTTTAATAAAAAATTCCAATGTCTAAGGTACATTTTGATTATACATTCGAAATAGATATAAAACTTTCATAAGAGAAATATCTTCAATTTGATAGTGAACACATCACCACAGCTACGATGAAGTTTTTCCGGCTGTCGTGAAATTGTCTATTACATTTCACGTGATAAAGGTGAGCATCAAGGGTGCCGTCTGCTATTTTGCGTACAACAAAAAGCGTTATGTTTACAACCATCGCAAAGATCATCAAATTCAAAAAAATTTTCTTATGAAAATTCGTCGATTAAATGGAAGCCAAGGAGATGCCGAGGATCAGAGTCAAGATTTCATAGAAGATATTTTGTTAATCGTTTCATGGTTAATTGTAATCTGATTATATTTTTATTAATAGCGATATGCGATATAAACAATGCTTTCTCTGAAATATTATACGGGAAATATGAATTCAAAAGCTAAAAAATAATAATATAAATTCCATATAATATCCTCATAATACTTGAAAATATATTGTAGAAGTATTTAGAATATATTAATAAATATAATTCGATATAAAAAAAAAGATAAAAGTGTATTCATTATATTATTATAGTTTTATAAGGTATAGGTAGCAGGCGGTAACGTTGAGGTAGCTCATACAAAAAATAAAATACAGAATACCCTCTCAGATACGAAATAAGGAATTTCAAGAAGATCCCGTGAAACTTTGCAATTGGATACGATTACTCTCGTGGATGACATTACCAGCCCACACGTCATTCTTAGCGTTCGTTAATGAATAAACAGGACTATTTACATAGAAGCACATCTTGCGAGAATCCGAATTAGTAAAAATTTGCAACATCAAATATCCCAGGATGATAGAATATTAGATTTTCATAACCTCCGTTCTTGAAAGGGCTCATATTTCGCACATGAGCTTACAGAACCATAAGTCCGGTCAAAACGAACTTGAGGGTCGAACCACGAAAATGTAGCATTTGCCACGAACACAGCTAAGCTCTTAGGCCTGGCCTACGGGTACTTTTAGATTAATTAGTTATCCACACAGTCAGTGATGTAATTGCAAGGATTGATGGAGATCAATATCTCGAAGCTAAGGTATATCGTCTTTATTCATTTCTCTATTCACTCGCAAGTAGTAAATTATTATATCAATACCGGTATTGAATTGGAATTTCAATTAGTTCGTCCTTAACCTGCAAATATATCTACTTGTCCACATTCGTCGAATGTAATTAAGAGACTTGCAGGCGTACCCTTAATGAATTTCAAAAATTCCCAAGAATCCTCAGGATACCAAGAAGGCACTCGTCGAAGTCCATCGTCTCATTAGTAGATATAAATAATTGGTGCGATATTATTAACGCCCATAGTGAATTATCTACAGTTAGTATGGATACATTTCGGTTTGGCCTGTTGCTTTTTCTGTAATGTCGCCTGTATACGGATTAATGGAAAAAGATAATGCATACCTTTAATGTGTCCACCTACAAGACCGTTTCTCTTTCCTCTACTTTATCGTTCTCCATTTCCCTCTTAACTTCAGCACCATCAAACCAAACCCATAAAATGCCGACCTCAGCTGCGCATCCTGCAGCACAAACGTGCCGTTTTACAATCCCGTTATAGTCTTTTACTGTGGTCCATCCCACTCGGGAGCCGTAAATTTCAGAGCGCAAATAGCTGAGTACATTCGAGACATGTAGCACCGCGGCGAACTAAATTTCTGGTTAACCGGGAAAACTATGAAAAAACTGAATCGAAAAACTTTTTCGTATGACGACGACCGCAATGAATAACTGTTCCGTGAGTCGTGGACCAGAAACTATTTCACTCTTCCTTTTATTTTTTTAAAGAAACGGAAGGTTGAACGTAATAAAAAAAATCAATAAATACTCTAATTTATTCTTATGGGAAAATTATTAAAATTTGTATTATATTACTTACCTGCATTCGCTATGCTGGTCGTCGAAGAGCCGTGCGAAATGCAACCATCGTCTTCGGTTTATTCGTTGTCCATATAGTTGCACGTATTTCGATGAAATCCCACAGGAAAGTAGGCGCATTATCAGATGTATCACGCAATAGCATGCTTTCGATTATATTGATATTATATATTGAAAAGGGTGCACTTGCTATGCTAAAAGGCTGATTAGAATCTTACAGTATAGATACGAAGATTGATATCAACGTCATGAAACACGTAGTGCTTCCTGATGGACTATGAATATGATGGGAGTCACCATAGTGAGGTACGTTTGCTAGCAGCTTGTTGAACATAGTAAAAAAGTACATGAAGCGTAAGATATGTTGCAGGGACAACTGTAGATTGACGCGTGTTGAGTGATACAGCGTGAGTCGGATGTAGTTATGAATATCTGCTGAAGTTAGTCAGAAGTTACGAATAAAGTGACGAGAGTTTGGGAAGATGAAGTGAAAATTTAAATTGTATCTTTCCTTTAATATTCGCCATCTCTCTCTCCCCCCGCTCTTCTTTCTTTTCTTGTTTTATTTAGTAAACATCGTAATGCCATAATATGTACAATATCTATCTATGATCTAATAATATCACTGCAATATGAGTTATGCTTTGCTTTGTTTCGCATCGTTTAGGGTCTACAGCTTCTCGAGTGTCCTCGGCATTGTTTTGCTTCTTCCTTTCCTTTATAACTTAAGACTGCGCTCATACAATGGGGAATAACGCTCGTTGCGTGGTTACAATTATTCATTTCGACGTGTTTAGCCTAGAGTCAAGTACAGTCGAGTCATAAGAATCACACCTGCGAAACTCGAGTCATTGCACGTTTCTTTTTATTTATTAACAATTTCTCTTTCATAAATGTTATCTTGTTTTCTTTTTCACTTTGAACAAATATCGTCGACCCGAACTCGCCGTGACGTAGAGGGACACCGAAAGGTTTGACTGAAGTGAATTTTAACGAACGCTTTATTCGTCAATTTGTGTTCGTCACAAAAATTAGCAACGTGCCCGGGTGCCAAATTGTGTTAATCAAAACACGAGACAGATAATTCCTGTAAATTCTTTAGAATTGTCAAGAACAGAATAGTACACTATCTTACATAAGGGCAGCACTATATCTTGGCGACAGTTTAGGTAGCTCACCCAGTATACATCTAGTCCTTTTTGTTTTGCTGGAGGCCATTTTCACTGCGAATAAATTCCCCTCTTGTTAGAATGGTACGACGAGAGGTGGTTAGATATTTGTACAACACGATTTTGCTCCGGGCACTGCTCTTGAATTCACGCCACTCCGATACGGCCCTGTCATGACGATTTCTCTACCGTAAAAGTCAAGCCCGCTTCGACGTTTCAAATCCATCGTTTCTCGGTTCGATGTGCTCGGAAGGAGCTTTTCCTTTAGTTTCTTTCAACATGGCTCTCGTTTACAGAGTCTCGTAGAAATACCAAACACGCCTGAGCGTTCGTGGCTTTTGCAAAGAAGGTAGACATTCTCACCGAGGCTTTATTCGTAAAAGTTCGAAGGAATTCGTTCCCCGAGTCGAGCAGTAAAGCGTAACTCTCCCTCTATTTATTTTCCTCCTTGTTATACAGTGTTCTCATTTTTTATTCTTGTTTTTCTAAAGGGAAGAGTTCACGATCCCCTCGCTCGTACCAAAGAAGACGATCCTGGTATTCTAGGTAGCAGGAGCTTTTACGTGCAGCTCGTCGAGTGCATAGCAATATTCCTGAATCGTGAGGTGCCCCTTTTGCTCCCGTTTCATATAGTGCATTCACACGCTCCTGGCTGTCTAGTAAGAGAGAACACGAAACCCGTACAATGCTCTGTACACGGGGCCATAGCTGCACGATGCATGAAGCTCGAGTCTTGGAAAGCACCCTTAAATAATCGGACGTGCATCGGCATCCGAGAACGATGGTCGGTGCAGGGCCGTACTTTGGTGGTGGTATAATTTATGTTACAAGTGTATGTACAATTGATAGCATCCGCCGATACCAATGCCGGATATAACACATTTCCGTGCATTTGAATGTACGAATGAGTGAGTGACTCTCCCATTTATATATATCTACATCAAAATTTCCAAGTACCTTGTGAACACTACCCACTGTATATAGATGAAATAGTACTTGAGGAGTATTAAACCGATACGTGACATAACGTGGTCGGTCGCCACGTCACGTATATTCTGTTTGTAATGACGCAACTAGTGTCAAAGGCGTTACACGTGTAGATTGCAAATTAACGTCGTGGGTTACACGTGTAGGTCGCGCGCTGGAGACGCTCTCTATATCCGCTTCGATTATAATGGGAACGAGGAACAAGGATTGTAATTTGGGTGGTGGGAAATGAAAGAGGATTAGGATCAATTAAGCTTAATTATGTTTAATTACTTCTAATCAAGTTTTCCTTATCGATCCTTTTCAGAGCTTGTACTCACTGTCACCTAAGAATCTTGTTCCCAAAGACAGCCGCCTGTGTGTCTCATGGCTGTAACTCCTGGAAGGGCACAATTTAGGGGTTTCTCTTTCACGACACAAGTCGTGGAGGGATCGACTGCCGATAATCGGATAGGACTCCCTTGGACGTTCCCCCTGTACTCTCCTCGAAGAAGATGCGATAGAATGAAGACGATAGTGAGGATAGAGGATGGGAGAGATTCGCAGGAGGAAAGCTCTCGTAAAACTCTCGTAACATAATCGTACCTTTTTACGCTATTATCCGTAAATCGATTCCTTCGGAGGATTATCCGGATTACCATCCGTTTCTTTAATTCCCGCAGTGACCCGATATCGGGGACGGTGTAAGGCGACGACATGGATTCAAGATGACGATGGTCATGGATAAATTTTTTATAAGGTGAAGTAAAACGCATTTAACCGGCATTGGCATCTTCGACTTAAAGGATAATCGCGGCGATGATCCCGTCATTGGTTTTGGTTATTCCTACAGGTATTATCATAGGTCAGGATGCCCTCATAGGATTCCTGGAGGCACCACGATACGACGGATCACCATCCCCTTGTACAGTTTACATCGAGGATATGTACAAAATGATGAGGGACACCAATAGACAACTCGAGGATAGAATGGGTCCCGCTGTGCCGGTTTGCATTGCTTCCGGTCGTTCGCCTGTAACAGATTATTCATAGAAACGCTCCACTTTCATATAATGACGTCACTGTCACTATTTATTTATCAACTATTCACAACCGTCCCTAGAGGGCGCAAAGCTTCGATTTATTTGAAAGTTTATATTCAAGCGAGTATATTGATAGTAGGGAGATCAAAGGGCCTAGAGATGATGTACTATCCTTTCATTTATACATAGGTTAGGTTGGGTTCACACTGTTATCAGAACGGATTTAGAACGTCGATCGAGATCCACATGCGCGCGCAGAACCACGCGATCCTTTCACAACGAAATCTCATCTCCGAGAAACGCCCGCGGATCTGTGCAGGTGCTTTATAAAGCGAACCGAAATGCAATTTCCGTTCGTCGTGATTGTCGTCTATCCACACGTTCGATCAGTCACGTCACTTAAAGTTCCACGCCATGAATTTAAGAAGGTTCTTTACCCAGTTCTAAAGTCACGGTGTGGGTACTTGATCCACTCGAAGGAACAAGTGAGGTCGCGGTTTTTGTCGATAGTCTTGTAAAATATCTGGAGGTTTCCCTCCGTCTATCTCTTTCCCTAGTTCACTCAGACACTCGCTCTCGGTTTCTCTCTTGCTCCCACATACGTTTTCTCCCTTGGCCATTTGGTCTGCTCATAAACAGAGTAAACTGTTTCCACCAAGGAGCTTTGAAAATAAAGGCGAAACGTTGATCCCTCTAGCTGAAGAATCCTTCTGGCATTTGCTTGCCGTATGAATTTTCTCTCTGGCAGTTGGCAGTGCATACAAGTACGTAGAGTGTAGGTAGGGTGTCAGACACATATTATACATATGCAAATAGACCGGATATTACGCAGAGATAATTATTCAATTGGGTTGAACTTACCATTGAGAACGTGGACCCTGATAGAGGCGGTGTTCGCGTTACTGGGCTTGCAACTATATACTCCAGAATCCGAAGTCTGTGCAGACTGAATGAGAAGCCATGAGGTCGTGACGTCACTTCCCTTTTCCGTAATGACCGAAACACCTCCCCTAGGACTGTCATAGCTCAGCACCTTCTCATTGTAGTACCAAAATATGTAGGCAGGTGACTCCGAACTGAAGTGTATCGCGCACGTGAGATTTATCGTGCTTCCAGCACCGACGTAGAGTTCAGGACCGCCTAGTATCGTAGCCGTGGGAACTGCAATGACGAATCAATTCCTATAATTTTTATCTGGTGCCCAATAAATCCTTTATTCTGAATTTCAATCGCTTCGTGGCATTTATCGATTTTTAAACGCAATCGAGTAATAATCACAATCAAGCTTGAACTTAAAATCAAAGACTCACCAACGACATTGAGGTAAAATTGATGAGCCTTGACAGGCACTGTCGATATCTGACACTCGTAGATCCCTTGATCACGTTCCTGGGCCCATTTAATGCACAACGTCCACTCGGACCACTCGCTATTCTGTCCGGAATTTTGTCTGTGCAGAGCCTGATAGCGCTGATCGCTCGTATACGTATAAGCTCCGGCAGTCAGGATGTGGATGTCTCTGTACCTTATCCAGGATACCTTTGTAATGGAGGACACATATGATGAGTAAGGTAATCTCGTAGTAATTGTGTGTTGTTCAATTTGTTAAATTTTAGATTAATTCCTTCTTCTCGTTTTTCGGGAGAAAAAAGGTGTTATTGCCAATTACGTGATTCCTCTTGGTAACCTTTCTATTCTCTATTTTCACATACCGCTTTTAGGAAAATCAATAGATTTTTTGCAGTTGAGGCAGCAACTTCATATGGCAATTTTTGTACTAACTGTATATATATCCTTTCTTGAATGTAAGTAGAAAGACCAAAAAAACTTCTGCTCTGTAGGTGCTTTGAGTCCTTCGAGATTTTTCTTTTAATCATACTTATTATTATCAGATGTTACCCTACGCAATAATGTACTCTTAGTCTCGCTTTCGTTTAAGACTCTAATAATAATAATATAGGTATATCTTTATATGTATCTATTCAGCTTCTTGCTACAAGTCACTGTTTTTTTTTTTTCATTTCTGTACAATACCGCTTTGAAAGCAGATATTTGAAATGTGAATTGTTGATGCAAGTAGGCACTCTATCAAAGGGAACTAGACGCTTTTATTCTCAGGGAAAAAAGGTTTTCTTTTATAAGCAAGACTTACACAGTAATTACGTGAAAGACTTCAAAGCTAAAAGCATAATAATTTCACGTCCATTGCTATGCCAACATAACGAATAGCGCTAAAAAATATGGAAGAAAACATTATTACGCTCAAAGGTCGTGAATAACGTGTATCTCTTGCGGTATAGCTTACGTAGGGGAGAAGTGTCTAATGTGGGACGTTTGTTAATGTGACGCACGCTTATTACTGTATAATACGATTTCATAGAACATTTAAATAACTCTTATGAAACTCATTTATGTGCCAACTAATCACAGAGTAAAAATTATACGAACAGATGTATTTTAATTATTTTATTATGAGAAGTGTTTCACGCCTTGTCACTAAATTTGCGACTTTAAACAGAACAACATTTAACATGTTTCATGAGCACAGATAAATATTTCTAATGTGTTTTTGAACAATCTTGATTAATTATTTTTATAAATATATAATTGCTTTTATATTATTATTCAATAATATATGCGAAAATATACAAATAATTTCAAAAGCCGCGGGCCTCTAATGTCAAAGAGAGAAAATTTTCACGTGAGTGAATTTTCAAAGAGTCTTCGGCAGTGTTTGACTATCCGGCACTTGCCGGTTTTGTCATGTGCTGGAAGTACGAGTATTATAAAAGATAATAAGAGGTTTTTCCTCAATTTCATTATTAGTTTGTTATTCCTATATAACCTAATAAATGCCTTATAATAAACGTATTTAGTTATTCCGTCAGATCATCAGATCTGCCTAACTTGATGTTGGATTTATCCATAAATATATACTTCGTTATTTGACGCCCTTTAGTATAGGTTCCAATCAAGAAATTCAAAAATATTCCCCTTAACGTATATTTCCTATTTGCGCGAGTCGAGTCTATTTCAGGGAAAGGAGGCCTGCCGGAGATTTCGCGGAGAAGATTCTAAAGGTGGCCAACGAACGGGCTCTACAAAGATTCGTGGATTCCTGGAGAGTCATTTTGTTCGACTCTGTCAATTCGCGCGAAGTGTTTCGGTAAGCGAGCATTGTCTATTCTGTGAGTGGCGAATTTTCGTGCACGCGTCTGGATCGGCAGTCGATTCATGCGGGCAAAAGACGCCGTTGAGAGCCCATGTAAATTCTCCCACGCTCTTATCTTTTGGAACGAGTTTCCCTTGCATTGATTTAATCGCGAAACTTGGAAATTGTACGCGTCTGTTTAGGAAAACGTACTCGGAAAGACTGAAGTCCTTGAGCCGGTGTAACGTTCATCGCGAACGCGGCGATCGTATAGTTTGTCAGTATTGGATGTTGTACCGTAGTAAATCGCGAAGTAGAAATTTATTCTGAATTGTATTCATTCCTATTCATTTTTTGTTTCGACGACCTTGTTCTATTATATGTAGTTTATTTGAATTAATGTATTACAATTTACTTAATTTACTTTGAATTAATTATTGTTTCCTACGGCGCGAAAAGTAGAATATCATTCTTAAGAGCTGAAATTAATTCTTTTCTTTCCAAACGCAAAATCCTGTAGATTGATTGAGCAATCAATTTAATTGTGATTGGAAATTTAATAGAACGTTTTTCGTGTAACTTATTTGTTTCTTGTGCCGATGATTTCCGCTGCCTCCATGGGCTGGCTGGTCGGCGTGTGAGTAAAAAGTTTTGTTTTGGTTTAGAATGAATTGGTTCGCGAAGAAAGTGGCGCCCAACATATTTAGATAGGATTAGCCCCCTGGGTGTCGAACGGCTAATTGTCGGCCAGAGTGATGTCTCATGTTACCGTAAAGGTCCGCGAAGGTACGTCGCATTAAGGTATATCACCTAGAGCATCACAAATAAACCTCTCTCTTTCTCTCTCTCTCTCTCTCTCTCTCTCTCATTCGCGCATGCACACGTTCACGAAAGACGTATGTAACATCGCTCATCACAAATAAACCTCTCTCTTTCTAATTGTCGGCCAGAGTGATGTCTCATGTTACCGTAAAGGTCCGCGAAGGTACGTCGCATTAAGGTATATCACCTAGAGCATCACAAATAAACCTCTCTCTTTCTCTCTCTCTCTCTCTCTCTCTCTCATTCGCGCATGCACACGTTCACGAAAGACGTATGTAACATCGCTAGTACATTACAGTATATATTTCGAGTAAATAAAGAAACAGAGGTGACGTGTGCGAAGTGAATATGTGCACCATACCGATATGCATTAAATAGGACGAAGAGTGCTCATGGACCTGGATAAATGAAGGAGAGTATCATCAAAACAGCTTCAAATAACGGTAGTATCAGAAAATTCTTAGAGCAGTCATCTTTAAAGTACTGTACAGTGAGCAAACAGCACCACTAACGGCTAAGTCGGAGATACCATTGACACAGCCTATAAATCCAACTGTCGGTTCAATAGCTAAAACCTTTACCTGGAAGATTCTACTCGACCACACGCCAGGCTAGCAGTAGCTACACACACATCCACGAAATATATGCTCTGCCGCTCCAATAATATTTATTTGTTGCGTACCGAGAGTGCATAGGGAAAACTGAGTGAGCGCAAAGTTGGAAATCAATGAGACAGAGTGAAAGAGTTGAGAATTCGGCATAAAGACTAAAAAGTTCGTTGCAATAAAGATAAGAGTATCTGACAGGATAATATTAAATTCGATGTAGAATATAGATGTGAATAATGCAAAGAACTAATATTTGAAACAATATATTATGAGTGTTAGAAATGTATTAAAGGTTTTCACAAAAGTCGCGCGTGCTGCATAAAGTGTAAAATAATAAAAGTGAGCTTGTTAAATGTAATGGAATAGTCGCTGAAAAGTTAAATAGGTCGAGTAGTAACAGTAGCCTACGAGTGGGCGATAAGCAGAAAATAAAGGAAAAACCACCAACGAGCGGAGCGAAAAAGTTGATTATGATGTAGATTATAAACTAAATCAAATACTTGTCAAGCTTAATATTATCAATAATGATAAGGAGTGGCGGGGTGGGCGGAGGGATTGCTCGACCGGTATCAAAGAGTGAATAATGCGTGAACTACATGAATATAAAGCGGGAATACAAATCAAACTACACAAATGAAACATAAGATTGAGTATGAGAACAATACTTGAATAAATGATACAACAAAACTTTGCACGTCATGGGGAATGGCGGTAACAGAAATAATAAGAAACTAGTAATATTGAATCCTATGCGCAAGAGGCAAAAAAGTAAAGACAGAAAGGATTGTAGTTGAACCGTTTAAAGTCTAGTCCAGGGAAAAGATATCGAGTCAAATTAAAAATAAGATAAATGTAATGAACTTGGAAATGAGTGTGGACAATATTCAAAATGGGCAAAGAGGGACCATAGTTACAGATTGTAAAAAGAGTAGTAATAAAGATAAGTTAGCGATAGAACTAAAAAAATAAATAGGCGAGCACTATAAAGTTATAACTGCATTTAAGATATTACCTAAAATTAAATTAATTGATATAGAAGCAGATTTAAAAGAGTATGAAGAAACAAGTATCGTGAAAAAAAATAAAGCAAAATGAATTAGATGCGATCAACAGAGATATAAAAATAAAGCTATGAAAAAGAAGTACAAAAAGACGGTAAAGAGCTCGGATCAAAAAATGTGTACAGTTTTTGCCCTAAAAGTCGTGTTTTGGTCTATTTTATTCTGTTATTACCAGATTTTATCCTCTTGTCTGAAAATGTGTAACGGTTTTGTCCGAAAAACTCTACATTGTACTATTTTTGTCTGAGTAGTATTTTTTATCTGTTTTTATCCGCTTAATTCATTGATTAATAGTCTGATGAGGTAGGACAAAATCAGCTTAAAATTTGAACTTGGACATTTGTTAAATATTATACTGACAAATTCAATATAAAAAAGTTTCGAAGTTATTATTATTATTGGAGAAGAAAGTCTGATTTTGTCCGTTTGGCGGATATAATTAGACTATGTAACAAGTATACTTTCCAGTACTTGTTGAAAATTCCGGCAAAAACAGAAATATGATAGGAAAAATTGGATATTTTTAATGAAAGACAGAAATGTTCTACGTATTTAGACCAGGGAGTTGACAATGATACTGAAAGTTGATCAAGATACAAAACTGTAATATAGTTACAAAAACTGAAAGTAGGATTGAAAAAATGTAATGTTATGTTAGTGTTAATGTAGTAATAGTATATTGTGCACCGAGAGCGAAAACGGGCGTTTCTGTGCCGCGTATAAAGAACCCCTCGGCTTCGCCTCGGGAACCTCAACTTTATACAAGGCACAAACGGCCGTTTTCTCTCGCGGTTCACATACTATTTTCTTCAACAGCGGAGCGAACGCGAGTTTTCACGTAGTGCGTGATTCTTGGGTCGGTGCAAATAAGCAGGTTAGTTTGGTAACTTAGGAAAT